AATATATAATTTATAACAGGATTAAAAATATATATTTATTAAATATATATTTTTTAATCCTGTTATAAATTAGGGGCAGTGATATGTTTTTGAATGAATGACTCTTCCCCATGTTCATGTCACTCCATTTCCTCTGGAAAAAAAGAAAAGAAAATACAACACAGAAAGGAGGAATGGCCACTCTCTGCACATCTCCAAGTGTAAGTGACAGCATGTGAAGGAAATAAGCAAGATTGGTCCAACTGAGAGGCCTGTCCTGGGGCCTGTTTGGCACTTGATTTGACAAGATTTCTGCTCTTGTTAGCGGGGAACACACAGGGGGCCCGGGAGTAGGCCAAGCCAAGGGCCCTTCGGGGACGCGAGGAGTTCAAATATCAGGGCAATCAACTCCAAACATGAAATCCGAGGTCCCAGCAGGAACTGACTTCCTGCACGGAGGCATGTCCTTAATCAGCTAGCGAGGGAGTTGGAGGGACGTTTCGTACCATAGTGACAGTGAGCTCCAGTCGGCAGATCTGGGTACAAATCCAGGTTCATCGTCGCCCCACAGGTTTTTGTACATTTTATAACCTATTCCTCTACTGATGTTCAAATGGACAGTCACTGGTAACAATTCCAGTTCACATGGCATCGAGTGATGGTTATCATTGTAGCTGATTGTTCTTATTATTGTGTTATTATTTTTTTAAAATATTATTTTATTGATCTCTTCAGAGAGGAGAGCGATAGAAACATCAGTGATGACAGAGAATTATTGATCGGCTGCCTCCTGCATGCCCCACACTGGGGATCAAGCTGGCTACCCGGGTGTGTGCCCTGACCGGGAATCAAACCGTGACCTTCTGGTTCATAGGTGGACACTCAACCACTGAGGCACACGGGCTGGTTTTTGTTGTTATTTTTATGATTGTCACAGTAGGAATGGCAGGCATAAAGAAGGCGTGAAGCTGCTTTGTAACAATTGCCCAACTTGAGAGCATTTTGGGGGCGGGGGGGGGGGGACAAATCAAAGGGAATTTGGGGTTGTGTTACCAGGAAGAGATGAACAGATAAAGTACCATTTGATGACACGGACGGATCTATACTTCTGATGGATGTCAGGCAGGTGGCAGTTCCTCGACATCTGTGGTCCTTCCCAAAGAAGGGGCAGATGCTGTGACAAAGCATTTACAACAGGGCTGGGATGTGTTCTTCACACGGCGAGCCCCACACGGTTCTGATTGGACATGGATTGGCTCCATGGGATAGACATGTGAGAATCACCAGCTGCATTTCTCAGCGTCTGGTCTCATTTTTGTAGTTGCACCCCAACCCCCACCAACTGAGTCATGGAGAGAAGCTTTTTTTTCCTCCCCTAATGCACAATCGGTTGATTTGAGTAGAAAATTAAATTTCCTGGCGAGCCAGAGCACTGCATAGCTCCTTATGAGGCTAGCAGACAGATTCAGAGCCATTTAACCTTTTAAAAACAGAACTAGAGGATGTGGGTATTCAGGGAATTACTGAGTAACAAAGAGCAAAGCATTTCTGTCTCTTTAGGGCTGTTGCATTTTATATATTGACAAGAACATATGCATCTTTTGGGGGAATGTATACGTGGCCATCTAGAAAGAAATAGGCATTTATTGTGTCATCTGCCGTGCTAAAACATGCAGTCATTTATTGGTTGGTCGACTCTCTGTTAAAAAACTCAACAACTTTTTCAAGTACATTGTCAAGCATGAAATATTATGTATTAAAATTCTTATAC